TTTTAGTTGTCCAGCTAATTTCTTTCTATTTTTAGTAGAGACGGGGTCTCACTCTTGCTCAGGCTGGTCTCGAACTCCTGAGCTCAAAGGATCTGCCTGCTTTGGACTCCCAGAGTGCTAGGATTATAGGCGTGAGCCACCAGGCTCGGCCCTCATGCTGTTCTTTACTGTCAGCTGGGAAACTTAATTAATGGGCCTGACCTCAGAAATCCTGACTTAGTAGATACGAGGTGGAGCCTGGACACCTCTATTTTAAAAAATTTCCTTGGGTGATTCTGATGAGTGTCTAATGATCAGAACCACTGCTGTAGCTAGACTGAATCACTAGCTGTTCCAGTGGTACACCAGGTTCTTGCACCCTCTGGTACTTCTTTGTATGTGCTACTTTTACATTCCCTACTTTTCCTGGTCCACTTGGCAAACTCTTTCTCCTTTAGGCCTCATTTGTACATTTTTTGCCTCCTCAGAGGATTAGGGCTCTGATCTCTAGTAGCATCTTGGACATTTGGCAAGATCAGTGGTGATGGTGTTTTGTTTGCATGACCAGCTCATTTAGACTGTGAGCACCTCTAGGAAAGCAACATTGTCTTTGGGTCCAGTGATGCTTGTTGAAATTGTTGGTAGTAGAAGAGTCCATTCCAAGGGTAGGAGGAGATGGTGCCTTTGAGCCTTTCAGGCCCTGGGTCTGGGTCTTATTTGTCGTGATGGGTTGTATGTACTTTAGTTACAGGAGATTACATTTAAGAATTACTACACAGCCTTTTTGAGCATCCGCGTCCGTCAGCATACCTCGATGCACACACCGGCCAAGTGGGTGACTTGTCTGCGGGACTATTGTCTGATGCCCGACCCACACAGTGAGGAGGGAGCCCAGGAGTATGTATCGCTGTTCAAACACCAGGTCAGCTGGGCCTCAGTATGGCCAGGGCAATCAAGATGAGGGCTTACAGGAGACCTGGGAATTGGATCAGTATACCAGGAGGGAAGAAGGGGCAAGGATGGCCTGGCTTTCAAGCAAGTGCCTTGGAGGGATTATTGTTCTTTCCTTCCCAAAGGCCTGGGGAGGCAGCATTTTGGCTCAGTGCTGGTTGGGAGGCTCCTGGGCAGTGAGCTGGGTCCTTGCTGGGTCCTTGTATGTGTGTGTGTCAGATGCTGTGTGACATGGCCAGAGTACTGGAGCTACGCCTGATTCTTCGGCAGCCATCACCACTGTGGCTGTCTTTCACAGTGGAGGAGCTGCAGATTTATCAGCAGGGACCAAAGGTAAGTGACTAACTCAGAGCTGTGGGTTGGCCCTTTCCCCAGGAGGGTTCCCACTATGGCTGGGAGAGGTGGGTTTGTGGGTGGGTGCTGGGTAAGGATGGTATGACTCAGAAAGAGGCTTTCATGGAAATTAACTGAGTGTGAATGCTGGAAGTTCATGATGAGAGGTGAGACTATGTTCTCATATCCCCTGACTTTTGGAGCTACTAGCCACTTTCAGAGCTGGAGCTTTTAGGTGCCAGGAGACACTTCTGTTGCTTGTGTTTGTGAGACCTCCTGCATAACAGAGCTTAGGTGCCTTGGGCTTCTGTGGGCCACCTGAACAATATTTTCCCAGTGTCTGAGGCTCTGAGGCCCTTCTCTCTACTCCCAGGACCTTAGAATCTGGTCCCAGAGCTCTCCTACTTTGCCTCACTCAGGGCAGTATGCCTTTGCTTTGCAGAGCCCCTCCATGACCTTTCCCAAGTGGCTCTCCCACCCAGTCCCCTGTGAGCAACCTGTCCCCCTACTTGAGGTAAGCCCTTTCCCTGGGTAAGAACCACATGTGAATGGTTCTGGTGTCCAGCACAGGCCCAGGTGGGCCCTTTTCTGTAAGAATCTGGGGGCTGAACCCAGGGCCTTTGGTTTACTCTGTGCCATCTTCCTCTTGGGTGCTCTATGGGATTTGAGGCATCTGTGGTATGGGGCTGGGCTGCCTACTGAACATCAGGCCCCAACCTCATGTTTCACAAGTCATTTGGAAATGTTATTGGTCTCAGCTCGTGGGTCCCTAGCCCAGCTTGGCCTCCCTGGAACTCTAAGGGCAGTGCTGGGGAGAGACCCATGGCCACTGACCCCTCCTTCTGGAGCAGGGTCTCCCAGACCCCAGCAGGGTATCCTCCGAGGTGCAGCAGATGTGGGCGCTGACAGAGATGATCCGGGCCAGTCACACCTCCACAAGGATCGGCCGCTTTGATGTGAGTGATCGCTTCCCTCTGCTTGGCTTATATTGCCCTGAGCGGGTCAGACCTGATGGTCTTTTGTGTTGCAGGTGGATGGCTGTTATGACCTGAACTTGCTCTCCTACACTTGAATGGTTGCTCCTAGCCAAGATATTGGCCTTTCTGTGCCCACCCAGGCTTGTTTTGGGCCACCAGAGGCCGAAGTGTGTTCCCTGTGCATTCCAAGTGTTGCCTGCATGCCTGTACTGTCTGGGCCATGTTCACAGATTCAGGATTCTTGGGGGCTTACTGTATTGCTTCAGCATGAACTCCTGGCGGGAATGCACTCTGTCTTCACCTGGCTGCAACCCAGTTCTTCTTTCTTCTTCTATCCTAACAACACTCCAGTTCTACTTACTAAGAATCCTCGAGGACCCTCTGCCCCTCCTGCCAACATTCACACTCCTGTCTTCTGCCTGCTCCTTCACCCTAAATGCAGTTAGGCTGAAAAGACCTACTAAAACCTCCATCTAACCTGGAAGGCCATTGCTGCAATGGCATTCTCGTATGTAGATTGGGAAGCTTTAGGAAGAAACAGAAACCCCATTTCTTCCTTTGTGCCCCCTAGTGGCTTTCTTTCCCTTTGTGTTATGCCCACAAAAAGAAATTTCCTGTCTAAACTCTTCTGCTGCTTGCCTAGGAAACAAAATTGAGGATTTGGGTAGCTTGAGTCCCTCAGTCCCTGAGCTGGCTCCTGGATATATGTTCAAATGCTTGTGTCCACTGGGCTTGGGCAGGTGCCTCTGGCAAGGTGGGGGCCTAAGAATGAGACCTGGGACCTGTCTGCCAAGTGACACAGCCCAAAGCATATCCCTGTCCCTTCTCCCAAGTGCCCCTTTCCAAGAGTCATGCTCAGCATGATGAGAGATCAACCTTGGTGGGGTGTAGGTCCAAGTGAGGGTTCTCATTGGTGCCTTTTAAGAGACTGAGGTCTTCCATTACCACAGGCCAACTGTTGAGTGATGCAGGCTGGTCTTCATGAGAAAATGCTGCTTCCCTCTGGTTTCTTCCTTGCGTTGTCCCTGGGGATTATTATGAAACAATACTGCAATGTGTTTTGGACCTGAACAACTGGACGTGTGTGTGGCCCAACAGTTTTTTGGAGGAAGTTCAGCCACTTGTGGTGGCCACCCTCTGCTCTCACCCATGAGTTCTTGCAGGTGGTGTCTTTACCCGCAGGGTCACTTACTTAGCCCCACTCAGCATCTTCTGAAAGGGTGATAACCGTAGTCTTGTGTTCAGCGAGCAAGAGTCCTCAGTGTGTTTGTGAGTGAAGAGGACCCTGGGGTAGCATGGATCATGCTTCAGTCATGGCTGTGTCCCCAGCACAGGGGCTGGTATGCAGCAAGATCAATAAACATTTGTGAAATGCATGACTGTGTTGGCTGCCTGTGTCTGTCTGGTGGGAGAGCTGGGGACCCCTGTGTGAAGTAAGGCTACTGTGGTGTTGCCTTCTGTGGTGTTGCCTGCCTGCCAGGCTGGCTCCACCCTCCTGTGACCTCTCCACCCTCCCCACCCCCCATTTGACCTTACATCCTTGAGGTCCTGAATGTGTGATTCAGGCCTTTCAGCCCTTTCCAGAACTTTGACCCTTTGGAGGCAGGGCAGTTCTGGAGGGGGAGGTCTAGCCCCCAGCTACAGTTCGCCTGAGCCGCCCTGAATAACCAGCAGAAAGAGCTGGAGGCTGTTTCCCTGCAATCTGGAGTCCCTGCGCTCCCAGCTCTAAATCCCAGCCTGCCCTGGGGGCTGCCCGCCCCCTTTTGTGATCTTGTGCGCAAGAGAGAGAGAGACCTGTCCTAGCAGGGGGCCTGGACTACATCTCCCGGCGTTCCCGGCTGAGTGGAGGCCTCTGTGCGCCGTCTGCACCGGTTGCAGGCGACGATGCGGCAGGCAGTGAGCATGGTGGCCCGTATGGGCTTTCGCCTGCAAGAACTCCCCTGTGTCCTGGGTCGTCAGCTCAGTTGCGCACAGGTGGGATAGTGGGTGCTGGGTTTTGGTTCTGATTTTAGATGGTGGGGGAGGGAGGCGGCTAGGGGCTAGGGCCCTGGTGGCACTAAGCCCGGCCGCCTGCAGGATGTGCTCCGCCGGACACCGCTCTATGATTTCCACCTGGCCCACGGCGGGAAAATGGTGGAGTTCGCTGGTTGGAGTTTGCCAGTGCAGTACCGAGACAGTCACGTTGACTCACACCTGCACACACGCCAGCACTGCTCGCTCTTTGATGTGTCTCACATGCTGCAGGTAAGCCAGGGGAACAGCCTGCCTGCCAGGTCAGGCCTTCCTCCCTGGTCACAGTGGTGCATTCCTTGGCTTTGTTTGCTGGGAGCTGGATTCTACAGATAGCCCTCCCAGAAGAGCTAGAAGCCTTGGTGGTGTCATGTTCAGACTATGGGTCCGAGGAAATGAACTAAGAGGGTCTCCTGATCATCTCCTCTTTAATCTTTCCAGTCTACTCCCACTAAGTGGCTTAATGTCCTAGGTTTTCCAGGGCTGACACCCACTCTTATCCACTATGCTGGGTATTGGAAAAGCGGGTATTTCAGGAGGTTGGTAAGTCCTCTCGAGTACCCTGACCTCCCCCTGTTGGGATGTGGGGAATCAGAAGGTGGGCCTCTGCTGCCTGTAGAACCAAAACACTGGTCAGTCACTTAGGCCAGGCTGAATTGCGCTGTGCATGGCAGGGAGGATACCTCCTTGCCTAGTGTTCTTTTGGATTACAGCTGCTGCAGTGGCCTGAGGCTTTCAATCTCTTCCCCAGACCAAGATACTTGGTAGTGACCGAGTGAAGCTGATGGAGAGTATAGTGGTTGGAGACATTGCGGAGCTAAAGCCAAACCAGGTGGGCCCTTCTTTTATTTCCGCTCAATGAATGTTCTTAGTCATGAGCCAGCAAACGGGCTGATTCCCTACCTTAGGCTTGGCGGCACAGAAAGGAATCAGACACAGCTTTTCAGGGCTTGCAGTTTTGGGGACAGAGTCCCGGAGTCATTTCCAGACATCTAGTGATCTGCAGGGTAGGGCCTCATCACAGCATGCTAGGAGGCCAGAAACCAAGGTTCCTGTGCTGCTCTCTGACCTGCACTGTTATTCAAAGATGTGCTGAATCAGAACATTCATTTTAATAAGATCCCCAGGTGATTCATGTGACCTCTCAACCTCAGGTTCTTCATCTACCCAGTAGGGAGGCAAATGGCAATATTTATTTATTTATTTTTTTTTTTTTTTGAGACAGAGTCTCACTGTGTTGCCCGGGCTAGAGTGCTGTGGCGTCAGCTTAGCTCACAGCAACCTCAAACTCCTGGGCTCAAGCGATCCTCCTGCCTCAGCCTCCCAAGTAGCTGGGACTACAACAGGCATGCGCCACCATGCCCGGCTAATTTGTTTCTATATATTTTTAGTTGTGCAATTAATTTCTTCTATTTTTAGTAGAGACAGGGTCTCACTCTTGCTCAGGCTGGTCTTGAACTCCTGACCTTCAGTGATCCTCCCACCTCAACCTCCGGCCTCCCAGGGTGCTAGGATTGAGCCACCACACCCCTGGCTGACTTTGAAGCTTTTGTCCTGGGGGTTGAGGCATGAGCTGAATTGCCTCAGGCCTGGGTGTGATGAAGCAGTAGGTCCTAGATGTCACAGATTAAGCATGAGATGGGGCTCTCAATACTGAGTGGGGAGGGGTACAGAGGCTCCACCAGATCAAGGAGGCCCCCCGCAAGGTGGGGAGGGGATGAAAACTTGCTCAGTGCATGAGGAAGTTTTTGTCTCCTTGACTTGGGCCCAGCCTTGTACCTTGCATACCCTGAGCCCTTAGCATGAGGGCTGGTAAGTTTTGTGGTGGCTAAGTGGGTCCAGGGGTATGTCGGGTTCGCCCTTGACCTTGGCCTTTTGGATCTGGAGGCAAAGATGCTCCACTTTGGTGCTAGGGGACACTGTCACTATTTACCAATGAGGCTGGAGGCATCTTAGATGACTTGATTGTGACCAACACTTCTGAGGGGTACCTGTATGTGGTGTCCAACGCTGGCTGCTGCGACAAGGACTTGGCCCTTATGCAGGTACAGCCCCTCTGTGTTCTATGCACCTTGTCTTCCTTGTTCATAGAGCAGCATCCTTGTCTAGGACAGGCTTGGCACAGACAAGGGACAAGGAGCTCAGAAAATGGCTCTTTGAGTCAGTGAACAGCTATGAGACTGGTAGGCCCTCCCTGGAGCATGGCAGGGTTTGGTGGGGGCGGGGAGGTGAAGCTGACCCTGGCTCCTTAAGTGAGCATCCTTTGGTGAGGTGGCAGTCCTGGGCGTGGGTCATCCCTAGCACTTAGTAGCTATGTGGCCTTGTAAGATGGGAACCAACCCACTATTCTATTACCCAGCTCTGCCATGTCCATCTCATAGCAGGTGCTCAGTAAGTGGTCCCAGAGACTGATGTGGTATTTCTTTCTTTTCAGAACAAGGTCAGGGAGTTTCAGAACAAGGGCAGTGATGTGGGTCTGGAGGTGGTGGATAATGCCCTGCTAGCCCTGCAAGGTGAGAGGGCTGGGCTGGGGTTAAAGAGCTGACCTTTGCCTTCCTAGCTTTATCAACTGCCTAGCACAAAGGTCAAACCAAGAGGAAGGTTTGGATGGTGTGATATTTGTGTGCCATTATTCTATTATTCTATCTTGCCCTCCCCCCACCTACCACAAGGCTAGGGACAAGGGCATTGTCTCCTACTTGCAGTGTAAGACTTGCTCAGGGCTTGTTCTGGTCGCTGAGAAAGGCCTGTAGTCTAGCTTTGAGGGGTGCTGGGACCTGGATGCCTGGTCACTGGCTCCCTGGGCCTAGGACCCACTGCGGCCCAGGTGCTGCAGGCTGGCGTAGCAGATGACCTGCGGAAACTGCCCTTCATGACCAGTGCTGTGATGGAAGTATTCGGCGTGTCCAGCTGCCGTGTGACCCGCTGTGGCTACACAGGAGAGGATGGTGTAGAGGTGTGTCAGTAAGTGGGTGTGGGGTGGTACAGGGCACAAAAGGAGGGGAAAGCTGCCCACCTGCTTTCTGGTGTCCTGTGCAGATCTCGGTGCCAGCAGCAGGGGCAGTCCACCTGGCAACAGCTCTGCTGGAAAACCCAGAAGTGAAACTGGCAGGGCTGGCGGCCAGGGACAGCCTGCGCCTGGAGGCCGGCCTCTGCCTGTATGGGAAGGACATTGATGAACGCACCACACCTGTGGAGGGCAGCCTTGGTTGGACATTGGGTGAGCTGGGCTAGCACTGAAGGATGGGGTCCTGAGGTTGGAGTGAACTTTAATGAGACCAGCCAGCTCAGGACTGCTCTTAATATTGTATATCCTGGAGCAAGTGACTCAGCTTTCCTGAACCTTGGTTCTATGAAGGTGTCACTGTGGGCAACCATTAGAAACTGAGGACCCTCAGCAGGTAGGCAGCATGGCCTCTAGGGGGTCAGAGGTGCTTGGCTGACTGAATGCAGTGCAGGGGAGGAATAGAGCCTGGGGTAGCCCAAGTTAAGGGAACTTGATGCTGGTTAGATGTCACTTGGGGTCCTGGTAGCTAGGACCTCCTGCAGCCAGGGCTTTTATGGGTTGTGGCTTATATCTGATGTGTCATGTTCCAGGAAAGCGCCGCCGAGCTGCTATGGACTTCCCTGGAGCCAAAGTCATTGTTCCCCAGCTGAAGAGCAAGGTGCAGCGGAGGCGTGTGGGGCTGATGTGTGAGGGGGCCCCCATGCGCGCACACAGTCCCATCCTGAGCACAGAGGGTACTGTGATTGGTAGGTGGACCAAGGAAGCTGGGGAGTCTTTGTCTCTTCCCCAGAAGGGTGGGAGCACTGGGCTGACAGGGTGCTGCTAACACATGGCCTATGCCTGGACAGGTACTGTGACCAGTGGCTGCCCTTCACCCTGCCTGAAGAGGAACGTGGCCATGGGTTACGTGCCCTATGAGTATAGTCAGCCAGGGACACTGCTGCTGGTAGAGGTGCGGCGGAAGCAGCAGATGGCTGTGGTCAGCAGGATGCCCTTTGTACCCACAAACTACTACACTTTAAAGTGAGGATGGCTCAGGGCAGGGCCCTCCCCTACAGGAGTCTTGCTCTGGAAGGCATCCTTCAAGGGGTTAGTGAGGAAGCTGACGCAGAACCCACTGGGGTGGGCAGCTAGAGTAGAAGCTCGCTATTGAGGGGCCTATACTACCTATTTGTCCCACCCAACCCATGCCACTCCAACTTTAGGACCCCATTTCTGAGTGATGGATCAACCTTACCCAATGTCCTGTTTTCAGTCCACAGTCCCACTGACCCTACTCCTCCCTGCTGGAGGACAATGAGAAGCACTGGTTCTGCCATCTCTCCCACTCTGCCAGGTGCTGATTGTGAAGCGAAGTCTCACTTTTGTGGGGAAGATAAAACCTGCCCAACCTACCTCACTATGGTTTCTCACATTGCAAGGGTTATTACCATGGGCAGTGTGGGTTTAGGCTACCCTCTCCAGTTTGCTTTCCATGAATGCAAACTGCTGCCTCTCCCTGGGCAGGAATGATTCCTGACTCACCGAGGGTTGGCTCCGTACGGCTCCTGTGCCTGTGTGTAAACTTGGGGATGGCTGAGGGAACATGAACTCACCCTTCCACATTCCCAAGTAGGCCTAGCCTGCTGCTCACCACCTATTCTGAGCCCCAGGGCTGCTGTAAGGCAGGCTGGGCCTCCTCCTGGACTTGCCTTACCCTGGGCTGACCTTCACCCCAGGGGCCCATTACTGGACTGGAATCCTGAAAAAATATTAAATGAACTTCCTTCTTGTTTGCCATAGTCTCTAGCTTCATTGTTCTTTGTCCACAGGGCTCCTGAAGTGCCAACACAAAGCCTGCCTTCCTGGCCTCCAAGATAGGCTAGAATAGGTTCCCTTGAGAGGGGCCAGGTCTATAAGAACTAATGGGGATATTGCCCCTGTTGGGCACCCCATCAGTGCTCCTCCATGAAGCTGGCATCGCCTCTCCATCTCTGCAAGTTGTTGCATCTGGGTCCTGAGGGGCAACAGCTTCCAGAATGTTCCCTCTCCAGTTGCCACACTTGCGTGCATACCCTTATCCTGTCTAAATAACCACACAACTGATGCACTTCCATGTTTAATAAGCCACATCCTCAGTTGAGCCTGGGGTGAAATGTACCCCTGATTCTGTGTGTGGTGGTATTAGTGCGTAGGCCTGGGGCTGTGAAGACCATCATCCTGCCAGCCAGAAGACATCTCTGGAGTGGGGACATGTACATGAGCTCACTGCTGCCCCACTTCCAGTGCACCTCTGCCACAAAGATGGCCTAGGTGAAGGCAGCCAGCTGGAAATGTGACATCCAACAGAGAGGAAGCAGGCAGTAGGACATTAAGGTAGCTGGTGGCCCAGCAGAGGGAGACAGAAGTATGGCCGTCAGGGAAGCAGGTGGGTCCAGGGCCAAAATGTTTTCAGGAACTGGTGTTTCTGTGGGGGCATTTGTTACCTACACCTTGGGAAGCTCCCCATGCCCATTGTAAAGGTGGCAGGGCTTGCCTGGCCTGTGGCTTTCCTGTTGAGGGTTCCTGGAGGCTCAGATGGTGCTAGTGGGGAGGAGCTGAGCCTGTAGGCTATTAGGTTGAGACCCCTCTCTGTACCAGGTCTGGATGGGAAATGATGAGGCTGTAGGGCATGATGGAGCCATTTTGCACTAACTGCTTAGTACCTCCCTATGAGCGCAAGGTACAGACCCAAGACCCCCTGGGTACTTAAGCAGTGGGGGCTACCCCAAGGGCTTAGCTGGTGGGCTCTGCCTCTTTCAGGCACCCAGCTTACCCCTAAGAAGGACTAAGAGGAATATTAATAGGACAGTTGGGAGATAACAATTTTCTTTTGCTTGGCTAATACCTGGAGAGGTCTGGCTGGGCCAGGGAGGTGAGTGTTTGGTGCCTCTGTCTAGATGGTGCCAGCAGGAACACCCTGCCTTATACCTGAATTGTCAGCTAAGTAACCATAGAGTATAAGGCCTGGCCCAGGCCAGGATTCCCTGGCTCCTTGCCAACAAAGCAAAACCAAAGAAATTCAGGAAACTCAGGGCTTCAGGGAAAACAAACTTCCCTTACAAATCCCACAGCTGGTAAACCTCAGGCTTCCTCTCATAGGGACAGATCTTTATGGGATCACATCCCAGGGGGATAGGGAGAGGGACAGGAAGGAATCAAGACAAAAAAGGGACTGTTGGCCTCCCCAACCCAGAGGCTTCTCCTGAGCTCTGACTCCTGAGCAAGGAAGAACAAAACTTCTTTCCTTAAGGTACCCAGATAAGGGTAGAGGCAAACTCTTCACTCTCCCAGTGCCTAGAGCTGTTGAGGAGGCAAGACCAAAGGCAGTGGAGGCCTAGCCCTGCAAGCACTGGGATACTCCTTGTCCCCAACCTTGAGCCCCCTGCAGTCTTCTTTGGGGTCTGGGCAGCAGCAGAACGCAGTGTAGAAGCCAGCAGACCCAGTGATGGCCCTGGAGACACTTCTGCTGCCTTCCCTTATTCTCTGTGGGTTTTGAGAGGTTCATTTGCTGCCATTTCCCTGAAAGTGATGGAGAGAGAAGAGAGAGGGGTTATTCCATGGACAGCAGAACAATCCCCGAGATTGGCTCTCCTCGGCCCCTTGGGGGCTGAGCTGGGCTCAGTAAGGCCTCATTGCAATCTCGACCTCTCTGCTGATCTCCCACAGTCCATCCTGGGCCCGCCACCTTCCCCCTGCAGACCCATTCTTCCTCCTGGGTTCCCCACCTTACGATGGCACTGCCATCATTCCCTGGGTGCCTGAGACAGAAACCTGGGCAGTGGCAGCCTTTCTAAGCGGCCTCTAGCCGTCACTCTTTGACCCTTTATCTACTTGCCATGAAGCAGGCAGTTATCAAGGCAAATTAGATCAGGCCACAGCCAGCCTTGCTGAGTCAGTCCTTCAGTGGCTCCCTGGGCCCAACATGTTCCCATGCATAAGCTCAAGCATCACAGCCTCATCTATTCTTCCAATATGTCACCCTCGTCCTTGCCCCTTGGTCTTGTTCTATCCATTCCCTTTGCCTGGTACATTTTGCCACCCCATGGCCTTTGACCTCAACTTAGGTGTCTTTCTTGGGAAAAGCATTCCCTGACCACCCTTGCCTCTGCACTGCTATCTTCCCCGCATAAATCTCTGGCTCCCCCTGCAAGTAGGGCCTGGGTTGTTCATGTTCTCTGGGGCTACTGCAGCCCCTGCCATGTGGCAGGAGCTCAGAGATTAGCTGAATGAATGCCCCAATTAGTGAGTTCATGTTTTACAGATGAAGAGGCTAACCCTCATGAGGTCAGACAGTGTGCTAGGGACAGAGGTTCCTGCCTTCCCAGCTAAGGGGTTTGCAGGGAGTGGAATCCGAAAGACCTGCCACTTAATATGACAATACAACCCCCTACCCCACAAGTTGCTGATGCACTGTCCAAACATTGGCGACACCCCAACTTGAAGCCTGAGCTCTACGTGCAGACTTAAAGCTTGCTGCAAAGGCCATTAAGTTGGTGACCTGTATTGTGATAACTCCCCTCCCAGTCACCAGCACACAAGTGTCCTTGGACTGCCAAGTGTGGGGTTGGGGTAGAGACAGGTTTACTCACCACGAAGGGAAATGCGTGGAGCCATCAGGTGTGGATCCGTTCTGACTGCCCAGACCTGGAGGCAAGAACACATCCAGAGCTGCGGCAGGCTGGGGTTGGGGATCTGAGCAGGTATCAGGCCAGTTCAGGTTAGGGGGCCTCTGGTACTGCTTGGTGGGAAGTCTGGTGAGGGTCCTAGGGACTAGTGGTATCGTCTGGTGAGGGTTTTGAGGAACGGTTACAATGTGATGGGAAGACTGGTGGGGATTCTGGTATAAAATGGTATGGTGGCATGGGTGCGGGTACAACGTTAAGTTCTGATGAGGCTCTTGGGGGATTCTGGGGAACCCAATGGTACAGTCTGGTGGGGGTGGGGGCAGTCAACCCACGGAGGTTCGTAGGGACCCTCACCTGGGCGGTGATACAACCCGGTCACCGTGTTCCCGTAGAACCCCCACGCCAGCTGGATGCCCAGGAGACTTAGCACCAACCACAGCAGCAGCAACTTGAAGAGGGTTACGCGCATGTCCTGCGCTTCCCATTCCCGCAAGAACTCGCTGCCTAGAGCGCCCAGCGCCCCTAACACCGTGGCCGGCAGAGTTTGCAAGGACTGCCCCGACCAGGGCTCCGCCATGACTGGCCTGCGCCCTGCCCAGGGGTACCGTCACCGTAGTCACCACCACGCAGGCGTGCGGGTTTCCAGGGCCAGGCTCGTTAGTGCGCACGCGCAAACCCTGGCAGGGAGGGCGCACCTCGCTTGCGCGAAGAGTTGGCAGTTTAGGGAGGAGTATTAAAAGCGCGCACGCGCACCTAGCCCCACCCTACTTACTTAAAGGATGAGTGACTCGGGGAGCATAAAATAGCAACCAGGTCTTTTATAGCCCCGAAGTTCCCGTGATGCCCTACGCGGCTGCAATGATTGGTTAAACATCTAGCTTTTAGGGCGTGGACGCGCTCCTGGGCAATCGTGGCTGAGCTGTGGGTGCGCGCGTGCGCGGGGCCGCGACTGTGGCCGGCTCGAGCCCGCTGGGTAGTCGGGGGCGCGCACGTCGCTCCCCGCCCTCCCGCCGCTGCCCGCCCTCGCTCGCTCGCGCTCCCCGCCTGCCGCCTGCGGTCCTCCGTCGGTTCTCTCGGTAGTCCACGGTCGCCTCATCTGCTACCGGTTCTTGTCTCCGAGCTTGCGACTGGCGGACAGGAGTTCTTGGTAGGAAGAGGCCAGACTCGGAGTCGTCGCCTGAGGTGAGCGGGAAGGTTCCCTCCTAGCGCCGAGGCGCCCCGGGCCCGCCCGCCCGGCACTCTTCCGGCCACCCTCCTGCCGCCCCGCCGCGGCCGCGCCCCACCTGCTGCTCCCGGCCGGCCGCCCCTGGCCCCAGATCCTGACTCCTCGCCCGGCCTGGGGCCCTGCGCCCCGAGGCGGCGGCCCCGCCCGCGCAGTCCCCGGAAGCGCGCCCAGTCGCCTCGCCCTCAGTGCCCCTTCCCCCGCCCGACCGGCCTGGTGGAGCCCAAGCCGCCCGCCCGCGGTCCCCGGCGCTTCCTCTCTCCCAGCAGCGCTGGGCAGGGCGGGGGCTCCGAGCCGGGCCCCGCGACCGCGCACTGTAGCCGTCCGCTGCAAAGCGCGCGTGGCTGTCAGAGTTGAAATGGGAAAGAAACTCTTTACAACTCCATTTTGCCTTTTGCATTTAATGTGAGACTTTAATTAGAGACACCGTCTAATACGGATTGAAGTCCAGTTATGCTTTGGGTAGGTTTTCTTCTTTTAATGCAGTACTCTTGGAGATTGTGTAAGTAAACGATTGTGTTGAAATCTTAGCACCGTCTGTATTGAAGAAAAGGGTATTTTTCAGTTGAAAATAAAAAAGCGCTGTAATGATTTAAGCGATGTTGCATGAGAATAGAGTTTTGCTTAGTCTAAATTACTACCTTTATTAGGAAGCACCTAAACATCTGTACTTACTGGATCCACAGTAACAGGTCGTCTTCATTAAATAGCACACTTTCATCCAAATTGATTTGGCCAAAAACCATATTATGGTAGAAAATTGGCATCCGTTTTACCTCAGAGTTGGTCCCACTTGTGTTTTTTAGTAGTTCTAATTTTAAAACTTTTGTTGGTGACTTGTTTGGTTCTTGTTTTTAAGACAGTCTTTTGAAATGTTTCTTGCAGGTGTGTAATCAGATTATACTCCTCTCTGCGAAATTTAAAGGGGAAAAAATACTTAAAAAACCAAAAAAACCCACTTTAAAATGTATGCAGTGAGAAATTTTCAACCACTTAGTGTCACACACCCAGAAGTGTAATGTGTACCATGTGGATGATTGTTACTTTAGATATGGCTAGATCATTGGGGAAATTTTTTTGAGCATTTGGCACAAGTGACGTTGTTTGCACTGAAAACACTAGACTAGTTCTTAATTGTAAAGAATGGCTTAATTGAAGGATCTCTTGATAAATTGTCTTGATTCGTTCCATCTGCTTTTGTAGAGCACTGATGGCTCTTGGGGACATAAAATGGGTAAGGTGCAACTTATTTTGAGTCAAAGTCTAGTGCTAGACTTACACCCTTTGTTCTCATAAAAACCTGTGCTGGAAGGAAGAAGTGAATAGAAATACTGTATAGTTATTGACCTATTTCTTCATAGATCCAGAATTTTATATGTAAAAGGTCCTTCAGGACTGGTAATCCAATCCATTTGCAGTCGAGGAAACTGAGTTCCAGAGACTTAAATAAATTTCCCAACATCATATGTCTAGTCAGAAGTAGACCAGAACTATTTTTTTCTCTGTTAGGTTTTCTTCATGTATTCCCAAATAGCTGGCCTAGAGTCAGGTAAAATTCAGGACTTCCAGCTTATTCCAGTGTTTCTTCTTTTATACCTTGCTGATTGTGCATAGTTTGTAGAATCTGAAAAATTCATTTGCCAATCCAATTCCAGTTCATTAATTTTCACAGCAGTCTCCCCTCTAACTGGATGGTCCTGCAGTCCATTGAAGGAGATAAATGAATGCACAGGGTTCCTGGCTGACCTAGTCATAGCTTTAGGTGTTTGGTTCTTGTTGAGGGACCAACTTCCAGAGCAAGGCCCAGACTTCCCAGGTCCAAAGCCAACATAATTAGGTCAGGCTAAGATGTTTTTAGGCAACTGTGGACCCTTTTGACTGTTGATTTGGGGTACTGCTTATATCAAGTAAACAATCCCCTATGCACATGTGTGTGGAATTGTTGGAGTATTTTCATAATCCTGGTCCGTTTCTGTCAGTTAACTCCTTTTAAAAGTTTATCCTGGTTATGTGGGGGTGTAAGTTATTAGGAGAGTAAAAACAGGTAGCTCTTTACAGGTGGAGTCTGTCCCTGTGGTGACTGGAGGAGGAGGAGGAGGAGGAGGTTGGTTGCTACTTTGGTCTTAATTGTGCTAGAGCTGAGAGATTTATGTTAACTCTCCTAATTTGAGCTTGATGGGCTTCTGTAGACAACACCTTGGGTTTAATTGCATTTTGGCTACTAGTGTTAATGATAAATGGCACATAATCACTGGATTTTAAAATTGGCCATGTTTATAGTTTTAAAACGTTCCCTAGTATTTTATCCTCCCCTACATTTAGTTTATCCCTTTATGTACCTGTCCAGTGGAACTGTTTGCCTGAGCCTACACATTAATATAATTAAATTTTAAACTTATTAAAAGTATTTTACTATATACTCTGCTATTTGGGGACATGCTCACTGTCAAGTATTTTTGAGATTAGTAAATTAAAATTCCAAGACAGTTTGAAGTTGGTAATTACTGTAAAATCCCTATTTTAAGTGTTTCTATTTCAAGTGACTCATTTTTTAATCTGTGGTGCTGGATTAAGTGAAGGCCTTGTATGCTCATAATTATGGTAGTTGGGTATCTGAAAATCAGGCACTGAAGCTGCTCATACTGGGTGTTGGTCTCAGCTTATTGGTGCTTCCTCCAAATGATTCTGAATACATTTTTATAGCTAATAATAATCAAAATACGAAATACACTCTGTTAAATTGCAACCAGTATGCAGTTTATACCAAACTGAGATTGATTTTTTTTAGAAGAATGGGTAAATGTGTTTAAGTGTATTTATGATAGTATCTTCAAGTGAAGGGAAAGAGGAAAATACAGGCAGCCAATGAAATAAGTTCGGAGTGGAGTGAAAGGACAAGTGGGAGATAAAATGAGATTAGAGAAGGGGCCAGATCATGTAGGGCCTTTAGGAGATGGGAAGTTCTTTGGTTTGTTCTGAAATAAGAAGTCATTCCATGTTTTTTAGTAGGGGAATGAAATGATCTGATATTAAAAAAAACCCCAAACTGGAATCACTCACTGTGAGTAGGAGTATATCTGGATCCATTCTGACTTTGTTTAGTAAACTAATACTGATAATTTCTGACAAAAACATCAAAAAGATTTCCTAATCTTATTAATTTCCTTGACCTAATGACTTCAACGTGTTTTATTTGAAGCCATTAGTTTTCTGACAGTTGCTTTTCAGTCTGTAAGTTCTTTTTTTTTCTTTCTTTCTTTTTTTTTTTTTTTTTAAGAGACAGTGTCTCACTGTTGCTCAGACTGGTCTCGAACTCCTGAGCTCAAGTGATCCTCCTGCCTCAGCCTCCCAGGCTGTTAGAATTACAGGCGTGAGCCACTGTGCCCAGCCTCAGTCTGTAATTTCTTTGTAATACCTGTGTTAAAAAGGAAATGTAATTTTGTAATTTGATGATACAAGTTATTAAAATGTTTACTGTAGTCCAGGTGGTAAGGATACAGGTGGTCACTGTAAAATTCTTTTAACTTTGATATATGTTTGAAAATTTTTTTTGAGACAGAGTCTCACTCTCTTGCCTGGGCTAGAGTGCCATGGCATCAGCCCAGCTCACAGCAACCTCAAACTCCTGGGCTCAAGCAATCTTCCTGCCCCAGCCTCCCGGGGTAGCTGGGACTATAGGCAGGCGCCACCATGCCTGGCTAATTTTTTTTATTTTTAGTTGTTTGGCTAATTTCTTTCTGTTTTTAGTAGAGACGGGGGTCTCGCTCTTGCTTAGGCTGGTCTCGAACTCCTGAGCTCAAGCAGTCCTCCCGCCTTGGTCTCCCAGAGTGCTAGGATTACAGGTGTGAGCCATCGTGCTCAGCCTGAAAATTTTTATTATAAAATGTTGGGGAAAATTTACAGAGGATTCATTAGCTTCCATATTTTTTTTTTCTGCTTTAAAAAGGGCAACATTAATTTATAATATTTGGAAAATAAGGTCGATTTTGTGGATTTTGTGTTAAGTGAAAGAGGCCAAGAGTTGTATAAATGTGATAAATTTGATGGTGTGTCAAAAATTAAATTCTGCACTTTTTCCCTCTCTTGGACTCTTCACTGAAGAGTTACTTAACAGAAGTTTGGGCAAACCCATTTACATCCTGTCCTTTGTTTTTTTCCTTGTAAATTGAATAGATATAATTCCTGATATTTTTTATGTTTTATAGCCTTTCATCTAGAAGTTCAAGGTACTTTGTACAACTTCTGCCACCCAGGCCAAGCATCCTACAGGGCATTTGTAAGGTATGTAAATAGAAGTTTCTTTTTCCATTTCCCGTTTTCCATGGAAGAGAGGTTATTATTAATGTAAATTCTGGAAATGTGGGTGTATCATTACTATTAATGATTCTCTTGTCCACAGGTCTTGAGATCTTTATCTTACTTCAGAACTTTTCTCTGTACTTATTTTCCTACCTCTCCATAAGATAGTCTTCTGACTTCCTTTCTTTTGTTTTTTATTCCAAGTGACATATTTTTCCTTAGATGAAGTTACATTTCTAAACCTTTCCCTTGCTTAACCTCTAAGGAGATGA